CCTTGTCCTTTTATTTTGAAAGACGTCTGGGTAAATACCAAGAACTCTGCTTGGTAATCTTGAATAGATATTGGAGATAGCAATATAGCATAAATGGTACTGTATTTAGCATGAACGTTATTCTGGAATGCCACTTTCGAGGATGTGGTAAATTATTGGAAAAGTCAGCACGCCACTTAAACCCAAGGATAATTTCTTTAGGGTAAATTATGCGTTTAGTACTTAAATTATCAGTTTTGGTCCGTTTTAGTACCTAAACTTTCAATTATTTCAAAATCATACCTAACGTTTAATTTTTTTTTCATTTTAGTACCTCACCATTAACAATTTAACGGCACTATATTTTTTATGGGTAAATTACATCATTCATCACTCCACTATATTCTCGCTACTATTTTTTGGTACTAAAGGTTAATTTTTTTAATTTAACTACTCAACTTTCAAATTGCTCCTATTTTAATCACTTTATTTTATTTTATTAATAGTTTTTGTGACATGATATTTTTTATTATTTTATTAATATATAATTAAAAATAAAAAATAAATATGAAAGTTAGAGTGATTAAATTAGGCGTAATTTGAAAGTTAAGTAATTAAATTAAAAAAGTTTAAACTTTAGCGACCAAAATAGGAGTGAGAAGATAGTTGAATGATGCAATTTACCCATAAAAAGGTGCCAGGTGCAAATCACCCGTTAAGTTTTTAACTTCGAGATACTAAAACGAAACAAAAACTAAACGTTAGGCATGATTTTGAAAAAATTGAAAGTTTAGGTACTAAAATAGATTAAAACTGATAGTTTAGGTACTAAATGCGTAATTTACCCATTTATTTATTATGTAAACAAGTCACACAAAAGACAAGGTAAATTATTTATTATGTTAATTTAACTACTTGGCTCGGCATGCTGAGATAGACTTTAGGCCACATGATAAAGGTAGGTTCCCTCTTTCCCCTACCCCAAAATAGAGGAGTACCTCCAGGATTGGATGTTTAGATGCGGGTGCAACATACTCTCCCCACAAATATTTGGTGCATCAGGCCATTAAATTAGAGTTGATATTTTTTAAGTTTTAATTTAGTTGATATCTCTTTTATTTTCCTTCAGTTTACACCCTGATCTTGTTAGTCTTCTTCTCATTTATAGGTATGAAAGTTTATGTCACGGAAGAGAAGGAATTAATCATGGAACCACTAATAAAATGGGCTGCAAATCCAAGTGTTACCATTGCCGTAAAAGCATATGGTTTGAAGGCAACTGTTCAGGTTATTACTTTTCTGCACTGAACTACTTGTGTAATTGTGTTGAAGAACCGGGAGAGGTTGTTGATTGTGTTGCTCTGATTGTTCCAGGTTATTGATTTGCAAGTGTTTGCTCTTCCGCGCATTACCTTGAAGCCTTTGGTCCCAACTTTTCCATGTTTTGCAAATATTTTTGTTTCCTTGATGGAAAAGATATTAAGGCTTGAGATTATGGATAAAATTAATTACAAATTCTATGATTTATATATCTTTGATCTTTTGACGTTTTTTTTGTGTGGTGAAGTATATTTTAGATTTTAACTACAAATATTGTGGCTATCTACGTAAAATAATTGCTAGGTGTGTAGTTTCTTAGACACGTATGTAGTAGGTAAATGAACTAATATAAAATGGAATAGTTTTTAGGGTAAACTTAACGTTTAGTACCTATACTTTTAATTTTTTCAAAACCATAACTAAAATTAGTTTTTGTTTCATACTTTTTGTACCAAAACTTAAGTTTTGATTTTTTTTGAAAGTTTAGGTACCAAACATGTTTAATTTAGGTACTAAAAGTGTTAAGTTTTTAATGATGGGGGTACTAAAATGAAACAAAAACTAAACATTAAGTATGATTTTGAAAAAAATAAAAGTTTAGGTACTAAAACGGACTAAAACTGATAGTTTAGGTACTAAACACATAGTTTACCCTAGTTTTAAATACATCAAACATAAAGGTAGCAAAGTATAGCGTCAACTACCTTAGAGATCTAAGTAACTCAGTAAACTACAAATGATTGAATATTTGACTGTGCCTCCAAACTTCAAGTAGATAGGCTCAAGTTATTCATATGAACAGATTGGACTGTTTTGCGCACCTTAGTCATGGACCATTGTGCACGAGCAATGACATTCTATGAACTTTTATACACTGGTACCAAGATTTCGCTTTAAGATGTGTTACTGAGTTTCATAATGATGTTTTAATCTCCAAAATTGATCGCATATTTTTTCCTTGTTATCTTTTTGGCATTCAGCACTTGAAATTTCTAATTTTATCTTTTTGGTATTCAACTGCACTAATTACATTTCCGAAACGGGAGAACTATATCATTGTTTCTACATACAGTAATTCATTGACTTCCTCTCTTTTGGATGCATTGTTTCTCCCTTTCCCTTTTCGATGAATCGTGGTTAGTTCCTCTCTTTTTTTGTCTCCTTGTTTGCAGCCCCATGTTGACTTTGGATTGAAGCTCGTAGGCATTGATCTCATGTCAATACCTATTCTCTACAGGGTTGTCCAGGTAAAATGTCTTGTAGTGCTCTATCCCATTCTCTCTCTCTCTCTCTCTCTTAAAATTTATCGTCTGAATGGTTATATATAGGTTTTATTAAATGTTGCAAATTCCATTTCTTTCACCAATATCTGTTTTTGGCATCTTTCTTCTAAATGCACAAGTTTTATCCATAGAAGTTGAGGGGCATCTCTTTCTAACTTCTTGCCTTGGAGACAGGAAAATATTATCATTAATGCCCCCAACTGGCTTTGTCTATATGAATCATAGTTTTGAATGTTTATAAGACAATGTCATGCAGGAAATCATCAAAGATCAGGTAGCAAACATGTATCTCTGGCCTAAAAGTCTGACAGTAGAAATTCTGGATCCAGCAAAGTAAGCTTCACGATGAGCTCATGTTCTATTATATGTTTTGTTTGTCATTTTTTACTTTCAGCTTTTCGGTCTAGGCTTATATATCCATTAGAACATGCAGAGCATTTAACCGACCTGAAGGAATTCTCCATGTGAAAGTTATAAGGGCAGTGCAACTAAAAAAGAAAGATCTTTTGGGTGCGTCAGACCCTTATGTGAAAATAAAGCTAACAGAGAGTAAACTTCCATCTAAACAAACCACCGTGAAGATGAAGAACTTGAACCCTGAATGGAATGAGGAGTTCAATATAACAGTTAAAGATCCTCAAACCCAGGTCTTAAAACTTCAGGTTATTGACTGGGAGCAAGTAAGTTTTCATACTATTTTTTATTGATCCCAAGTTTATGGTTTTTTGACCTGTTGTTACCTTAAATATTAGTTCTCTTGCTCAGTTTGGGAAGCATGACAAAATGGGCATGAATGAGGTTCCACTGAAAGATCTGACTCCGGACGAGCCGAAAGTTATGACCCTTGAACTCCTTAAAAATATGAACGCAGAAGAGTCTGAAAACGAAAAGTCCCGCGGGCAGCTTGTGGTGGAAGTAACGTACAAGCCCTTCAAAGAAGAAGAAATACTGAAAACTTTCCAGGAGTCCAGAACATTGCAGAGGGCCCCAGATAGTACACCTGATGGAGGAGGTATGCTTGTAGTCATAGTCCATGGGGCAGAATATGTTGAAGGAAAGAACCACACTAATCCGTACGCGCGTATCTTCTTTAGAGGCGAGAAGAGGAAGACTAAGGCATGTTATTTTATCTGAATAGCATCGAATCAGTAGAGTACACATCACTTGCTTGTATTTCTTATAAATGGCATTGTTCTGTGCAGAAAGTAAAGAAAAACAGAGATCCAAAATGGGAAGAGGAGTTTACGTTTATGTTAGATGAGCCCCCCCTTAATGATAAAATTCATTTCGAAGTTTGCAGCAGTTCATCAAGGATGGGACTACGGGTCTCAAAGGTACTGTTTTGCACCATTGCTCGCATTGCATGTCTTGTTTTACGGCCATGTTTGTTTTAAGTTTGCTACAGTTACTTACGATCAACCATAAATGATTCTCATGGAACAGGAATCACTAGGTTATGTGGATATCAGTCTTTCAGATGTTATTACCAACAAAAGAATCAACGAGAGATACCATCTCATAGACTCCAAAAATGGACGGATTCAGATTGAATTGCAATGGAGAACCAAAGAGTAATATGTTTCTTTTATCTTAATTATTGTTGTTGCTTTTTTTTTTTAATGAAAAAAAGAAACATTTCTTGATTTTTATCAGATTGATTTGGTCATTCTTAATTGCTTGTTTCTGTATATGATTGCATCAACTAAACAAAAATCTACAGAATGAATGGGTAACAAAGATTGTTTATTTTCACTTTGATCGTGTCATTCTAATTCCGAAAATAGGGTCAAATAGGCGTTCATAATTCGGTTAAAACCAAATTAATCGACCGAATCGAAATTTCGGTCGGTTAATTTTGTGTTCCGTCGGTTAACATTTTTTTCGAACTTTGGCTATCTGTTAATTAATCGAATTAACTGAAATTATTAAATATTTAATATATTATATATATTATTTAACTTTAGGGTGTTTAAACTTTGGTTTTAACCGAATAAACCGAAAATATTAAATATTATATAATGTATAATATTTATATATTATTTATAAATTTCAGTTAATTAGGTTAACCAACCACAACCAATTAACTGAATTTAATTCGATTCGGTTAAATTTTTTGAAAAAAATTCAGTTCGGTTAACTGTTAAAGGGGAAAAAACGATTAATGAATTTTGGATAACTCGGTTCAATCAGCTAACCGAATTAACCTTAAACACCCCCTAGTGTCAAATACAGCCTCAATATATTAATGATCCAGTGCATCAAATAAATATTTTTCAAAAACACACCCATTTCCTGGAATTTCTTGAAATTGTTGGTGTTAATAATGCTAAATGCCCATACGATAACTGAAAAATGGGGTGAGCAATTGGTATTGGATCTAATTTGTTCTGATTTAATAGTTCATGAAGGAAATGATACAATGGAGCAAAATATGAATCGATTATATTAGAAAGAAATCAGCGAAGTCAAAACACAAAAAAGAAAATCTATCTTGTTTTTATATAACCAGGAGCTTCATGTTTCCTCATCCCATTTGTTCTTAGGTATCTCTCCCGAGTCGGCGATTATGACTTTCTTTCTAGGTTTGCCGCTGTAAGTCCCGGCTCCCCCTTCGATCATATACACAATATCCATGCCCTGAATAACCTTACCGAAAACAACGTGCTCCCCATCCAACCTGAAAAGATCGTACCATGATGAGAAATTAGCCAAAAGAGTGAAGAAATTTGGGATGTTTTATCTCCCAGTATTACCGGGGTTAAGAATAACACCTTTACCAATCTTTCGTGGTCAATGCATTCTCATAAATTGTACAGATAATGGGAATAGCTAATGAACATATTTACATTAGTATATCAATAGGAAGCTTTGTTCAATGATTATAAGCCTTCGCATTAGGATTCTACACACACAAAAAAAGGTTTTTGGATATAGCTTACCAACTGGCTTTGACAGTGGTGATAAAAAATTGAGAGCCATTGGAATCAGGTCCAGTATTAGCCATGGAAACTACACCTGCAAACAGATCAAGAGAAACCAGCTGAATATTTGAAGAAAATTTTACCATTTAACGGAAGAGCCTTGAAAATCAAGACAACATTAAAGATTTTAGGTGCAATTGACAGTTATACACATAAGAGTACCTGAATGTGAATGCTTTATCTTAAAGCTCTCGTCACGAAAGGTGCCACCATATATAGACTCACTTCCCCTTCCATCACCATGAATCATATCACCTCCTTGAACCACGAATCCAGATATTATTCGGTGGAATGGTGTTCCCTTATAATGAAGTCTTTTCCCCCGAGCACCCTTGCCTTTCTCTCCTGCAGTTTTCAAGCAAGAATTTAAGCATATTTACCATGTAAAGTTTAAACTGCCTACAATGGAACATAACTAACATAGATAAAACTTAAGTACCTGTACACAAAGCCCTGAAATTTTCTGCAAACAGAAAACATCAGCAATATTAAACATGTATACATAAATGTAAAATCCAAATTCAACAATGGATGAAACAAGTTACGGTACGTTTTAGAAAATGGAAAAAATTGGAGAAGGAAAATTTATACACCAGAATTAGCTGAAAGGTAAGCTAATCTCACAAAACAATGACGACATATGGCAAGGCTGAGAGTAACTTGTACACTACTAATATGCCAATGGTTTCAAGAAATTAAGTTCTTTGGCAACTAAAACTAGTGGCCAGAAGATTGAAACATACCAACAGTTTTGGGTACAACTTCACCATACAATCCAATAACGATTCTACCTGTAGAACACAAATTATATAAATATAAACTGAAAAGAGACAAGTAAGATTTCTACTCAACGCTTCTTAAGTAAGAAAGTGAAGGTGTAGTACCTACACGCTGGCCATCAATATCAACATCCAAGTATACTCTGTCGGTGATTTCATGCTCCTCTTCTACAACCTTCTCTTCTTCCTAATCGACAATTCAGTATGAATCAATTAATACAAACTATTGTTTGAGTAATCTATCGAGATTGGAAGAGCAAAGCAAATATTAGATAAACATCAAAGGAAATTGCAGCCTCAAGACCGTCTTAACAAAGCACATTCAGAAAAACAACAAAATACTCACTTGCAAAGTTCAATTTTGGAAACAAGCAAATGCTCACAACAGTATTCTTCAAAACAAATGAGCTTTTAAACTAGGCCTATGTTCAGTTTATCCAACACTAAATATTTTGTCAAAAATTCGAAGCAACATATAACTAGAGTATTCAATCTGAGATAAACCACATCCAAAAGGAGCAGAGAAACATTGAATTTGAAGAGAAAACCAAATCTGTTCCACAGTGCAAAACGCAAGAAACAAGTAATAAAATCCAAATTCAGATCCAAACGCAAGAAACATTGAATTTGAAGAGAAAAGAGTTGAAGAAAAGCACCCGCTTAGCTCCCGAGAAAGCGAAAATGAAGAAAATCGAGAGGGCAGTCAAGAGAAGGAGGCACCGAGGTTGTAACAAAATCAAGATCTCCCGACGCATCTTTTCCCGAAACTTTATTTCTTTTTTCTCCTAATTATTAACAATAAATCTTTATTTGATTTTCCATGAGAATTACAAAGACAGGTACAAAGAGATACTAATTATATATTATTTTCTCCAACACTATCACTCACAGACTCAGTTGCCAATGAAGACTCAATGAGTTGGGGCGTCGAGTTTTATTCTTTTATAAGGTAATGCTTTTAATTGTGAGATTCAAGATGGAGAAATTTTACAGTGTATCCAGGTGTAAAGCATAAATATAATCAGAAGCACGTGGAGCACGTGTAAGATGGACAATAAGAAGCAAAATGAATATTGAAGTTGTTATAAAAAAATAAAAATACTAAATTCACATTTATTCTGGGTGAAAAAAATATTTGATTTAAAAGGAATATTTTATAAAATTTATTTAATAATGATTGCTAAGTTGTTATAAAAAATTATATATTAATTCTGTTTCAACCATAATTTCCTCTCTTTTTACTTGTATCGTTGTTAGTTTTTTCTTTTCATCTTTGTAAGAGATAACAACATTATTTTCATGTTGATCGTCGACGGCTTACATACATTATTTTTTTTATTTTATTATGTCGTATCTTTGTTTTTTATTTTTAATAACTCTCTCTTTATGATATGTTTTTATCAGCAAACTCGTACATTTATCATCTATTATATCTCAATCCAACAATTTAAGGTATTTTTTCCTTCTAAATCTTAACTTTTTTCTTTTTCGAATTTAAACTTAGTTTTAGTTAGTTTTTACTAAAATTAGTGAATGAGCATTGCTAATATTGTATTCTTACACTAGACTCTACTTTTTTTCTTCTAATTTTCCTAATTTTTTTCATTTTCTAATTTAAAAATAATTGAATTAAATTATTACTATCTTGTTTATAACTATATATATATATAATATTTTTTACATATATATATATATATATATATATATATTATATATAAACTTTGCGCCTATTTTTTATAATTATTACTAAATGTCTTGAATTGTGGACTCATATTGAGTTTTGAGATTATTTTGTTGCATACATGTATATTGTTATCTTTTGCAGAGTTCCTTTACCCCAATTTTTCGAAAATGTCTAAAAAATGTCCTTGTTCTTCATCCTCTCGAGCCAAGCCACCTCCAAATCATCCTCTCAATCCTAACCCACCTCTTAGTGAACTAATCATTATGAACTCTTGTTTCAATGAACCAAACCGTCAAAACCTTTACGTGAGGCATATTCAATATTTTGAAATTTATGTCATTAGGGATGAGTGTATTCCTTCTTTTCTCCCTATGAACACCATAAATTTCAAATATCTTCCTCTCCTTAAGGTTTGGAAGCTCAATAACACCTTTATAGTTAAGCCCGTTGTTTATCACCAACTTGTCTGTATTTTCTACTCTCATGTGGCTTGCATGCAAAACGAAACTAAAACTCATACCAAAAATATTCACTCTTATCTTTTGTGGCAATACATTACTATTGATTCTGACACCATAGCCACTGCCTTTGGTATAGACAACACTGGAATAAACAATAAAAAATACTATGTTCCTTCCACCTTAAAAGTAGGCAAAAGTGTTGTTTTAGTATCATTGACTTTCACGAGCGGTGCTTGCATTTGATTATCTCTTGGCGGTTTAGACCATCCGGAGGTAAATATTCCTCTCTCCGCAGTGTTGACATTTGGTGGCTTCACTACTTCCAAAACAACAAAAAGATAAACTTTGCCCAAATTATTTTTGATGAGTTATTTGACACCGTTAACAATGTCCCTTCTAAGAGAATCGAGTCACTTGTCTATGGTTGTATTCTAAATCATATCCTTTTCAAAGCGGGTCTCAAGGTAGAACTTGATTCAACTATCCCCCTGACGACCACCATTGATCTTAAATCTCTTCGTCAGTCGGGTTGGGAACAAGTTGTAAATTAGTTACAAAAAAAAAAATCAAGGTAAGCAAGGCGCGAGTTCTTCTAGAGTGGTTCCAGCTCAACCTCAAGATGATGATTGTTGCACGACGTTGACGATTCGATGAATCTCGTTCCCGACGAGCCTCCTCGAGCTGTTGGTGAGGATACTACTTCGATGCCTCCTTACTTTCAATTTATTATGGAGACGTTTGACTTGAGGTTTGTGACCATAAAGTCTCACTTTTCTGCCTTGGGGACTCAGGTGTCCGAGATAGCTTTTTGACAGTATGTGGATTCTCTACGTGATATCCTTGCTCGATTCAAATACGTGACGCATAGGATTGACTCTCTCTCTCTCTCTCTCTATTTTGCTTCTCTCCGCGCACCGTCTTCGGATTTTGATCCTCCTCCTCCGTCGGATGCCTAATCGCTTTTTACATTACTAGTTGCATTTGATTTGGTCTTGTTTATGCTACATTGGATTTTATCACTTTTGGATGTTTCCTCATACTTTGATATTTCGGATTTGATGTTTTTATGCTTTGGATGATTTGATGTTTGTTATTTGGAATCTTATACCATTTGGTTTCTTATTATGATTTTTATGATATTTTGGATATTTGAGACATGTTTATTTTTTTTTATGACCATGCATCTTGCTTAAAAATATTCTTTATGTTGACTAACCCTATTTGATAAGTTTGATCTTCACAGCTTTGTTATCTATGTTGTTTATTCTTAACTTTTTGATTTAACAAAAATAGAGAGAAATGTTATATTAAGGGGGAGTATTTTGAAAGAAAATCTTAAAATTTCTTAAATGTTTTTTATATCAAAAAGGGGGAAATTGTTGAGCATACTTTGATATTTTGATATAAAAAAATGATAAATATTTTTAACAAATTCTAGGATTATATTCGATTTGGTCATTCGAATATATAAATTTTTTTTAAGCTCAAAAACTCTATTTTACTCCTCATTTTAAAAAAATTGAGTCAAATAATGAAAATATTTTTGAAATATTTTTTCCTAAGGGTTTTGAACTTCAATCAAGTCAAAAACTCATTTTAAGCATAGTAGTATCGATACTACAAGAACAATATTGATATTGTTCATGAAGTATCGATGTTAAAGCCCAAAATAATACAATGGTACCGATACTACTAAGGAAGTACTGATACTGCCTGTTGGTTTGATAAAACAGAATGCTATTTTGATACCAATACTATCTCAGTACCGATACTACTTTTAACAGTAGTACCGATACTGCCCGTTTGTTTTTGAAATTTTCAAATTTCAGTATTCTCATTTGGTATCAATATTACTTATAAATGTCGTACCGATACCCCTTGTACTAGTATCAATACATTCTTTCCCCAACGACTATATTTTTGTATTTAATATTGGGAGTATCAATACCCAAAGCCTGAGTACCGATACTACAAGCGTCTGGGCAACATTTAATGCATAAAACTATCTCTCAATGGCTCTATTTACTCCCACAATAACCCAAACGAGTAGAATTAATAGAGGGGGTATAAAAATAAGATTCTAAGTCATATGTGATGACAAGAGATCAAAGAGAAAGCCAAAACCAATCAACTAGAGCCAAAATTTAAGTCAACATTCTTCAATATACCATTTGCTTTCAAATAACACTTTCGTACTCATTTATTGTTATTTCTCAAGTGTTCTTATTTGTTCTTGAATTGTGCAAACATTATTCTTAATGAATTTTTTATAAGTTTGCAAATTGTATTTTTCTCATTGAGATAGTGTCTCAAGAATTTGGGGTATAATTCTTCAGAGAGTTGTAAGGTTACACCTTATACTCAAATGTTGTTACAAATTAGTGAATTTGTGAAAATCCTTAACATGAATAGCTAAGGTAGTGGATGTAGACTTTGATTTAGAAATTCAAACCACTCTAAATTCTTATATTCATTTTTCTAATTTCTCTTTAAGCTTCCAACAAAATTTTTATTTGTCAATTCACCTCACTCTTGGCTATTTTATCTATTCTATTGACTCAATTAAAAGGACTTGGGCAGAAAAATGGAGAACCAACATCTCAGCAAGAGCTCTAGAAAAGTTGGAAAGAAACATGGCCATCTCCACTCAATGTAGGCTTATATGGAATTGTGATGGAGGGTTTAAGGTTATTCATTTGGGTAACGAACATGTTGTTGATTTAAAGAAGTTGACACGAACTTGTAGGGAATAGGAACTTAGAGGGATTCTTTGTTGTCATGCCATATGTGCAATGTATCAAGACTCCAAATCACCTGAAGATTATTTTTTGAGTGGTACAGTAAGGAAAAGTATATGCAAGTTACAAACATATCCTACAACCTGTGAGAGGAAAAAAATTTGGCCGAAGATCTTGCTCCAATTATTTCTCCTGTAGTCAGGGTCCAACCTGAAAGGCTTAAGAGAAAGAGAAGAAAAGATAAAGATAGCCCAAAAAATTGAAATTTAGGAAGAATTTCAAGATCATGTCTTAAAATGACATGTGGTCATTGTAAAACAATGGGCCATAACAAGAAAATTTGTCCACAAAAAATAACCGATGATGCTTGAAGTCATGTATACTTCTTATTCAATTTTGTTTCAAATTGTGTTTTGGAGGCTTTGTACTCACTAACTTTATGGGATTGTAGTTGAATACAAATGTAGCCACATCGACTAAGAAGTCAACCACACCAAATTCTATTGTCAAGAATCGTGATGGACCATCTAGAAAAAGTAAAAGACATATTGATATACATATATATATCAATATGAATACTGGTGAAGAAACACTTAATGTGAGTATTTCATCTATATGCCTAACACTTACCGTCTATATTTATTCAACTGATTTAATAATTTTTTACAAGTTCAAATATGTGACATACTTTAATTGATTTAAGCTCGTATCAATTGAATTTCAAATGTTTATATTGAATAGATTATGGAATGTTGGAAATATTTGACATTTATGATTTGCAGCTTTTGTGCATTTGTCTGAAATGTTGAAAATTCAGTTGGTTAATTATTTGTCTGAAATTATGTGAAATGTGCAAATTCAGTTGGTGAAATATTTAATTGCAGTCGGTTAATTATTTATTTGTAAATGTGGAAATTCAGTTGTTTAAATGTGTGAAATGTTGAATTTTTTTTATGAATACACCTGTTAAATTTCTTTGCAGCCTGAATTTTTGAGTGAAAGGGTTCTGACAGTCCCTAATAGTGCCCAAAAAAGATTGGAGCTCATACTTCCCAGTTTCAACATATATGGCAAGGTCCTGGACTGAACTAGAAAGGGAAAAAGGCTGTCGCTACTAGGCAACTTCATCAAAAACAATGTTATGTCTCTCGCAAGCAGCCTGGAATTAGAATGACAATGAATGTTTGGTAGAACTAAATTTAATTTTTGTTCATGAAGATCCAATCAACTTTTGTATTTTGGTCTTTTGTTTTGTATGAAACAAGCTGGTTGACGGAACTTATATGCTAATCCAAACAATGCTTGTTAGAATTGACTTTCATCTTTGTGTTTTTGAACTATTACCAGGTATATATAAGGTCATTTTTTTACAACAATTGTAACATTTTTCCTTTAATTTTGAAATTAACTGCACGTTATATTATTATCAAAATTGTTCAAATAATTAAAAGATATTATCTTCATTGAAATTCATATAAAAATTCAACATATTAGAATTAACTCAATATAATTTACAATTTAACTTCAAATAAAGATTAAACAATATTTACAATAATCAATAATAGAGGCAAAGCCACGTTTACACCTTGCATACTTCAACGTTTGCTGTTGGACACTCCCTTGCAAAATGTTCAGGGCCACCATAGTTATAACACGCCAAACCGCTGCCGCCTCCACCACCTTGTCCACAGTCTATAGACATATATCCCATCTCTCCACACTTCAAGCATTCTCCACCTCCTTCGTAATCTCTTCTTCCCCCACCACCTCCATACCCACCGGATCCACCGCGTCCAGATCCAGTGGAGCTACAAACAGAGTTTTCGTTGGGGCCAGTTACATCAATAGCTTTGGTCACTGAACCACTTCACCTTTCCAGTCAACCTACTCTCACTCATGTCTCCCCAAACCAAAGCTCAGATCTTAAAAAAAGCCACACAAAAACTGAAGCGAAAAATAAAAGCTAAAACAAGGGCGAGACAGTGACTTTATATTGCAGATCAGAACAATGCAAATGATGTGGTTATCAAATATCAGGTCAGCCTTGAAAAATATATTAATAAAAAATTAGATAAATTATGCGTTTAGTACTTAAACTATCAGCTTTAATCTGTTTTAGTACTTAAACTCTCAATTTTTTCAAAATTATCAAAAAACTTAATACGTTTAGTACCTAAAATATCATTTTTGTCCGTTTTAGTACTTAAACTTTCATTTTCCCCCAAAACTTAAGTATGATTTAGCAGTTTAGGTACTAAACATATTTTGGCGCCTTAACTTTCAATTTTCTCAATACTTAAGCTTTGGTACTAAAATTGAAACAAAAACTAAACTTTAGGTATGATTTTTTTTTAAATATAGTTAGGTACTAAAACGGATTAAAACTGATAGTTTAGGTATTAAATGTGTAATTTACCTTTGAAAGAAATAATACCTATTGTTTTTATTTTTCGTGTTTTCTATATTTATATTTATAATTGATAGGTGTCCACCTTTTAATATTATCATTTTTTAAAGTGAAACATAATTGATTTTATTATTATATTCAACACTTATTAATAAGAAAATAGTTAATATGATAGATGGTTGTAGCAATACTAAAAAGAGTTAAACTCAAAATAATTATAAGAATGTAATACAATCAAACGTAGTTCGAGAAATAAAAATGTTAAGTATAACTCAAACTTTAAATTTAGAATTTTGTTTCTGTTCAATCAAATTTTATTTTAAAGATCAAATTTTATTTGAAATAAAAATTAAATGCACTCAATTAGAGTTGATTAGATTTGCTTATCCTAATTGAAAATAAAATTAGCTTTGATATAAAAATTTAAATTTTTATTATAAACAAAACATCTAAAATCAATAAACAAAACATCTAAAATCAATAAACATAATTAATAGCCGAGTAATCATTTTGTAACTTTTAATAGTCAACAGACTTAACAAAGCAACTCCCTATAGTCGAATGATCATTTTGTAACTTTTAATAGTCAAGGGAATAAAAATAACAATATTCTATAGTCAAGGAACCATTTGTGTACTTTAATCTTAAATTTAACTTATTTCATCTTGAACTCAACTCAGTAATATTGGAACTCAAGTAAATTGCAAACACAGATGTCTCATTTCACGAGAATAAGTTGTCATAAATGCTAGCTGTATATTTATATATATACAAGTAAATGGTGAATGGAACGTACAAAAACTGAAACTATTTATTTTTTGTTGTTCTGAAAATGTTGAATTTAGTGGTATCCTCTTGAACCTCTGGATCGATACAGTTCCAATCTACTCTTGGCTTCTGGTAATAACTCGTCAATGTCATGATTTCCGGCTAAATGAGCTTGCTTCGATGCCCATTCCAGCACTATAATCACTTCCTCTTGAGCAAGGACCTCACTGTCGGGAACATTATAAGCTATGTAACACAGAAGAGTCAACGACGGGAACTGCACCATTTGTTCCCCAAAGTAAACTAGTTGGATCAAATGCTTCACGCCGCCGCCGTCCACGATGGCTTTCGAGTGGTTAAGGTGGAGGTAGTTTTGCGGTGTGGCGAATTTGTTAAGTGCAATGGTGGTTTCCATCGAAACTTCAGCTTCCGTTTCGTCCAGCAGTTTCACCAATGGCCCGATGACCCTCGTTTCGCTTGCTCGGAAAGTCCTCGCCAAGTTCCCGATTGTTTTGATGCACGGGATGAGGAGGTCCGAGTCGCCCTGTCTGATGACTTTGAGTAATTGGTTGACGATGGCTTTGGCTGCTGCGGCCGTAGGTTTGAAAGAAGAGCGTCTCAACTCAGAGTTTTGCTCCGCCACGGCGGTGATTTCCATTAACGCAAGGGACGAGTAGTATCGGATGTCGTCGGTGCTCTTCTCTAACAAGATAGCGAAGCACAATAGAGCTCTCGATTCGGTTACGCTACGACATATGCTGAGGTTTCCCTTGCAAAGCAGCCACAAAGCCCTTGCTGCCATTGCTTTCATTTGTGCTTTAGTGCCAGGGTCTTCAAATTCCCTTCCCTTAATGCTAGTTCCAGATATGGAGACACGGTGGTGCGACCTGGCTCCGGCAATCGGGTGGGCGCCTTTGGATTGGTTAGCTTGGCCGTTCGGTTGCAGTGGTGTTGCTGAGCTGCCAACATTCTTGCCTTTCATAACCATAGTGTTGGTAACCACATTTTGCATTTGGCTAGGCGTTGCTTGATTCCCCATGGGACGAGCCATATGACTATCCATTTCGTGCTCTTTCTTGTCGGAATCCTGGGGATTTGTACTAGCCAAAACAACCGAATGCATCGACGACGAGTGCTTGGTCACGATGCTATACTTACTATGTTCCTCAACGGTCTCGAAGGCGAGATGACTGACGAGAAACCGGATTATATTGTTCTGTGAAAAATGATCTTGGCATTTGGGGTGCTGCGCAGCCAATTCGGACACAGCCCAAGCCACCACTGATTGAACTTTCATTTTACCTTCTTTCAGGATTTTCGCAAACACTGCACAAACACCAGAATTTACAATCTGTTCGACACTTTCCGCGTCACGTCCGAGCAACCCAATTGCCCTTGCCGCATTCTCCTGACCCTCGGGGTTCCCTTCCTTGGCCAATTTCAACAATGGAGGGACTCCTCCTTCCTCGATGATCAGCTTACTGTATCGATCATTGTCCCGAGCCAAAGACACTAATGAAGCAGAAGCATCGGACCGCTCTTCTAACGTACCTGTGTAAAGAATAGCAATCTGTTCCCATATAAGACATAATATAGGTTCATTCGCCGCAATGGGAGGAAGACCGAGATATTCATCGTCTTTATTGTCTCCCGACACAGCCAAGAGCCACGAAACATCTCCGATGGAATTCTCGAGCTGCATTGACAGTTTCCTAAAGGCTGCTGCCGGTATAATGGTGAAAAGTCGCCCCAAGATACCTGTTCTACCACACTTGAGGACCAGTGTTAGGGCCTTGTCAAGGACTTGTTCGGTTTCATCGACGATTCTCCGTGTCGGGCGTTCATAAACTTCGTTGCTCGCTCGCGCAACTTGACGGAGGAGGCCCGCTAGCTTGTCGATCTTGGCTTTAATCTCTTGGCAATCTTGTTTGAACGATTGTGCTTCATCCGCAACCTTTGTCACCGTATCCGCCACCTGTATTGGCCTGGCCAGCAGTTGTTTCACAACGCCCGCCATGGTTTAAGTGGACCCGGAAACAATGACAAAATCCAATTAATACAACGATACTTTTTAAGACAAAACAAAATACTTTGATTCTGTGTCTGGTTTTAACGACAAGTTTGCGCAATGTTTTTTTTTATAAAAAAAGGTAGGATGGCACAATGTTTAAATTTAATGAGAAATTTTATGTTATTTTTGTATTTTGGCACCGGAAAAATGAGAAAGAAAAGAAATGTAAAACCAGAGTCAAAGATACGTAAGGAGTTTTCGTGAAGGAGGCATCAGTGAATGCATGGTTTCTTCCGGGGTGGCGTGGCCGAGGAGGATGTGGTGGCGCCGCCAGTCAATGCAAAGAAGGAGGCAACTTTAGATTTGTAATGGTCAAACGAGGTTTTCTCCATGTTTGGCATCCAAAAATAAAAGCCACCGCTCTTCTTGCGTTATATATAGGAATTGAATTGTTTTATCCATAAATTTATTATTACAAGATTTTAGAACTATCAATATGAAACCCTTTAAATAAAAATAGGGTAAATTAATCACTTAGTACCTAAACTATCAATTTTGATCCATTTTAATACATAAACTTTCAATTTTTTTAAAAAAATCATACTAAAGTTTACTTTTTGTTTCATTACAATACTCCGTCCTTAACAACTTAACGCGTTTAGTACATAAACTATCAATTTTGATCCGTTTTAGTACTTAAATTTTCAAAAAAAAAATCAAAACTTAAGTATGATTTAGGTACTGACGTGTTTTGCTACCTAAACTTTCACTTTTTTCAAAATTTAATGGTGGGATATTAAAATGAAACAAAACTAAACTTTAGGTATGATTTCGAAAATATTAAAAGTTTAAATGCTAGAACGGATCAAAATTGATATTTTAAGTACTAAATATATAGTTTACCCATAAAAATATTCTATTTGTGCGGGTTTTACGGTTACTTCTCTTTCTGATATGATTTATCTATGACTCGAATTGGATTTAAACCAAAATCCAAATACAACGATAGCCATTTATGTGAACTCTCAAATTATCCATTATCGTATCAGGTCTAAGAACATTACTCTGAAACAATCCTTTTACAGGGTTTCATCTAGTTTTCCAGGAACATCAAATTCATGAACATGTTTATTTCAAAGGTAAATTGCACATTTAGTATTTAAACTATCAATTTTGGTCTGTTTTAGAGCTTAAACTTTTAATTTTTTTAAAATCATATCTAACGTTTAGTTTTTATTTCATTTTAGTACTCATCATTAAAAACTTAATGCGTTAGTGCCTAAACTTTTTTTTCTTTCAAAACTTAAGTATGATTTAGGTAATAAACATGTTTTGGTACCTAAACTTTCAGTTTTTTCAACACTTAAGTTTTGGTACTAAAAATAAAACAAAAACTAAAATTTAGGTATATTTTGAAAAAATTAAAGTTTAGATAATAAAACGGATCAAAATTGATAGTTTAGGTACTAAATGTGTAATTTATTTTTATTTCGAATACAGCGCAACGGTGTTTTTCAAAGAAAGACGTAAATACAAGAAAGGAACGTAGAAACAAATGCATGTGGGCATTCACTTAATAATGGATTACTACAACGTTGTATTCGATGAGAGCATTACCGGTGGTCATATTGAATGACCGCAACTGGGCCGACGCCACCCCACACGCCAATCGGAAAACGCCTGACCCACCCACGATCGGCATCTCACGGTGGGGGACCGCCGGGTTCCTCCCCAGAATGGTAAGAGTGCTACCGTTGAACTCACCGGTCGTAAACACCAAGTTAAATGACATCAACAAGCTCAGTTCGTCTCTCCCGGAAAACGCGTATAGTCCTTGAGCCCGACCCAACTCTTTGGTTGTCGGTTTCATCCCTTCTGTTAACGGGTCATCCATGACGAAAACAAGACCAAATGATGTCGGGGATTTATCAGTGCCGGGTCCATGGGCGACCCGGACTGCAGTTATGTTGTGCTTTCCTGCAAATCTGTCGTGGAAGAAGAAATGGAGCTTGGTTACCTTTTGTTTCGCATACGGAAGCTTGTCGAACCATTCTTCCACTTCCTTGGCACCCTCTTCCACGCAATCCACCATTTGCATGGCAATGGCTACCAACAAAATCATTACTGGAATACCCAACTTTTCCATTTCTTTTTTCTCTTTTCTTCAAATAAAAAATGTAACCCATGCATGAATTATATACCTAATTAACTGCAACTTGTTCTACTCACACCATTAATGCTTTTGTTAGCTGCTACACCAAATTAGTAATTTAGTCCCCATTTGAACATTTGTTATACTTTCTCCACTCCAAAGTCCAAATAAGATATTAATGTATACGTTATCGATGATTAAATGCAGTGTGTATATTTTATCAACAATTAAAAAATTATAAACAAATACTATCTAATCCCTTAGTATTCTTAAAATAAACCAAGCCACTGCCACTCTTGTAAGATTAAATCAATTTTGAAGTTAAAAATTTAGAGTAATATTAAGAATTCTTGTAACGTGATTGGTCATTTTAGGTTCGGTTGGTGGGCCTCTAGAAATTTGCTGATGACTTGCTGTTTTGAGGTAATGTGCATTAGGTTGAACTTATGGGGTATAGAGGTTTGTTGATGACACGCTGTTTTAAGGTTTTTCTTTCTTCTAGAATTAGAGTATCATGTTGACTTTTTCTTGATCCAAATCTACTGTTGTCTATTTTATATTTTATTATATCACACACATATAGACTTAAATATAAAACAAGTATCCAAACTATACCATTTTTCATGAATAGTTATCAAATATAAAATTAAAATCATCTTTATTTCAATATCTACATGAGTCTTGAGGCTCATCTAATTCCTGTTATATCCGCTCTATAATCTATTTCATGTAATATATTTATATGTATCAGTTAAATAAATATATAGTATTTTTATAAAAAAAATATATAATATTTTTCCTCTGAACCCACACTACATATATGATATTATTCCAATTTTATCATTTTAATAATGTTTAAATACAAATAATGTGAGATGAGTGAAGAATTGAAGACAACAAAATCATACACATATGTCACATCACACAACTAATGTAATTTATCATCATCGTCGTCTTACTATTCACAAAACCTGCCCCATCCTCAGCCAATTAAATGTAAAATGGGGCGAGTTCTCACATAATTTGTCCCACCGACATCTCTAGCCTTTGATAATCACGTTGAAATTTTAATTATATTTATAATTAAATTAGATTAAAATTATAAATAGAGATAAACTCATTGACTAAATCATAAAATAATCTATTCAATTTAAATAATAATAAAACAAAAACCTTAAGCTTAAACTTAAACTCAAATTTAAAAAGAATTAAATTTTTTTCAAGTTGAATCCAAATTTAACCACAAATCTTTCAAATGATGTTAGTGAGGCTTGTGTGTTGTTTTCTACTGCCATTTCGAAGTATGTGAAGACTGCAAAGATTTGGTGTGAACTTAGGAGGAAGGAGAGCAAGGTTTGGTGGCACAAATTGATATGTTCCCCATGCATATTCCTAAGCATGTTGTGGTTGCTTGTTTGCTGTTCTTAACCGTCTTGCAACCAAGGATAAGTTACGAAAAATGGGGTTGGCAGTGGATTGCGTGTGTGTTATGCATTGATGATGCGGAGTCTAGAGATAACATTTCTTTTGAGTGTGAGTTTTCAGTGGAGATTTGAGAGTTCATTCTTGGTATTTACAGACTGGACACCATAGTGCTCTTATGGAACATCAGTTGAAATGGGTGATTTCATTCCTAAAAGGTAATAGTAGAGTCTTTAGGGGTTCGACTAAGAGCGAGGCTGGGATTCTTAATTCTTTGAAGGAGCCTATTCGCTTCAATCTTCATGGGAAGAATTTAGATAGGCTTGACTACGTAAATGTTAAGCTTTATATAGATTGAGTTCTGCTTGATTGAATATCATTTTTTTAGATACTCTAGTTCTTTTGTAGCAGTTTGCTGTGGTTCTGTACAATACATACATTTTATATATATAAAAAATTGAAAAAAAACTTCTTTTTAATAGGGAGATAAAAGACAAAACAAACTAGTGTTAATCTTCACTGCCATGCAAGGAGGCACCTCACATTTCAGTCATAAAAACATCCATGATCTCATTAGGAGGTGTCAGGAAGGTATGGAGGCTAAAAGAACTCGACCAAGCTAGTTTTGCCATTTCGTTTGCTAATCTATAGCTCTCACGGGGAACGAACATAAACTTCAGATTCCAGTCACGATCAATGATGTTTTGAATATGAGGGCCAAGGCACCATAGATAAGAACCCTCGCAAACTCGGGCCAACTCCAAGAGTGGCCAAAGCTTCCTTGCTATCATTTTCAACAATAATCCAACGTGAACCCAAGTTCCGCATTGGGAACACTTTCTAAGATTTCTCAAAGCTCTGCATCAAGTATCGATCAAACCCCGATAGTTTTGGTGAAACCCATTACCCAATCACCTGTTGTATTCCTCACAACCCCTCCACAAACAGCCAGGCCAATATCAATCTTACGCGCGCCATCCACGTTCATTTTTAACCAACCATTAGTCGAGGGTCTCCATTGCAATTCACGACTCACTGGAGCTGTACGACCGAGCCTTGCTGCACGAGTTAACAATGCGCGCACAACTTCTTGCATTATACGGTGGCTTTGCTGTAACAAGCTACTATCAGCAACATAACCTGCATCAAATATAATCTTATTCCTACGCATCCAAATGCACCAAAGCATCGAACCAATTATAAGGTCCCAATCGATAGGATCAATAGGAAAATAACATTGCCGAGTAAGGTTTGTCCCCACCCATGAACTAATCTCAATGTTGATGAATTCCTCAAAATGATGAGGTTTAACCAAAGCCTGCCACATTGACCTAGCAACCTCGCAATCCTGGAATATATGAGAAATGGAGCATCTCCCATCAGAAGACAAATTTCTTCACACAAGTTCCTCATTAGAGAGTAGTTTTCCTTTGCACATGAGCCATAAAACATCCGAACTCTTGGAAGACCTCGATAGTTGACGATATGGCTCCAGCAAGGCTGATTCTCCATAAGAACACGAGGTGCACGCTGGATGTAGGCACTACGATTTGTAAACCCTTTCTTACTATCCCATTTCCAAGCTGGAGTATCAGCCCCTGAAAAGTTAGGAGGACGAATCGCAACAATGGGGAGAAAAGCTGAGGGGGACAAAAGGGTTCGGATTGAGCACCAATTCCAGTCTCCGTTGGAACCCACCATATCTCAAACTTTTATGCCAATCCCATCAATATTGTTATTTTTTAACCGCAACACTCGAAGGTGGCCAAGTTCGGTAATCCAAACATCGTTCCAAAAGCTTATCGTCGAGCCATTGCCAGGGACGGAGGGCCAATGACGCCCAAAGGGCCCCGGACCCCTCTTGTAATTTATAAATTTAATTTTTATACTAGTATAAGAACGTTAAAAAATTGGGTAAATTATAAGTTTAGTACCTAAACTATTGTTTTTGTTTTGTTTTGGTACTTAAACTTTATTTTTTCAAAATCTTACTTAATATTTAGTTTAGGTTTTAATTTGATACTCGTCATTAAAAAATTAACAAAATTATTGACATGACATTTTTTATTTTTTTCAATGATGACGTGACATTATCTTATGGTGACACGTCAATATCACCGTTAAGTTTTTAACGAAATTTAGAGTGATTTCGACCACCGAAGGCCGTTTCATGCGCTATTCGCACCGCTGTTACAAGTGTAGAAGTGTTTTGGCAGGATAATCGATTTGACTGGTTTAACCGTTGAATCGAACTACCCAAACGGAATCGAATTGACCGAACTCGAACCAAATCAAGTTGACTCGTCTAAACCGACCTGACCTGATTGTTGACCTATTGACCCAGACCGACTGTTGACCCCTTGACTTTAACTCGTTGATAATTTATCATTGACTTTTACAGTTGACCCGTTGATTTTTTTCCGAATACCTATACCTTGACGTTTTTCGACATCTTGAATCTGATTTTGCAGTCTGTTTTGTCAAATTTTAATCTAAAAGCCTCTGTTTATTGTTCATTTTAATTATTTAGACTTTTCTATTTTAATTATTCCTAATTGGAAATAGACTTATATGTGATTATTTGAGTTTGAAGGTGACTCGACCTTGCTCGAGCGATCATTAGTGGACCTAGAACTGTCTTACCTAGGGATGGCAAATGGGCGGGTCGGGTGCGGATACCCCCTCCCCCATCCCCATACCCACCTAATATTTTTCAATCCACCACCCGCCCACCACCCATGATGGGTACAAAATTTCAAATACACACCCGCCCACGCGGGTATATTTTCAAATCCATCCCCACACCCACTACCCACTAGCGACATACCCATATAGACCCGCCTGACAGCAAACTAATGGGATGTTGGAGTTGGTTCCCAAACAGTTCGTGATGGGGTAGCAGCGCATGCTTCAATTTGTCAGAGGAGTAGCTCTACGAATGTTATGGAGCATGTAGTCGCAGAGCTGGATTCTTGTGTTGCTTTCGATGTTAATGCTCATAGTGCGCCTAATATGGGTTTTGAGGGCCCAAAGAACATGGCAACTGCTGCTTTTGATGTTAATGCTTATAGTACGACTAATTTGTGTTTGGATGGGCAGCATGGGCTAAAGAACATGGAAAGTGACGTGGTTAGTGGGATTATGGGTTTAATCAAAGAGCCGAATATTTCCCTAATTAAAGACCAGATTAAAGACTAAATATCCTTAATATTTGGATAAATTATATGTTATATATTATACAATATTAAAATTTATAAATTAGTCTTTAAAATTACACTAAATTTATAATGGTCCAAAATTTAATAGATATTTAACTGGGTGGGCGGATGTGGGGCGGGCGGATGCGGGGACGGGTAATGTCTCAAACCCATTACCCGCCCACCACCCACGACGGGTACCACTTTATAAATCCACACCCGCCCACTACCCGCTAAAATTATACCCATCCCCGCTCCAATTGGAGCGGATGCGATGCGGAATCCACGAAACTGTACCCGTTTGCCATCCCTAGTCTTACCCTAGTGTTACCGAATGTGAAAAGCATATTGCATAGTTGACCTTACAGCTTGTTAAATGTGTTTACCTCGCCTAGTGCTACATGTGTTTATGATTGTGTGTGTATGTATGTTATATGCTTGTGAACCGGTTATACGATATGTTGTCTCATTTACCGTATTTGTTGATGTGTGATTGAATGAGCATGAGATAGTAAATACATGTATTATATGATTTAATTACGACATATGTTCAACGATGTACACTTACTGTTTATTTGTTACCGTAATCATGATATTAAGTATGTATGACTTACCAATGTATATCGAAACGACATTCATCATGTATGTTGCATTGGGTTGGGTTTGTGAAGAGTAACAATACCGAATTACATGCTGTTGTATCCTTATTGGATGGTAATTCCAATCACCGAAATGCAGGCCGGAAAATCCTCATTGGATAGTAATCCCAATTATCGAAATACAGGTTGATGCATCCTTATTTGATGGTAATTTTAATTACCAAATTACAAGCTGGTGTATCCTTATAGAATGGTAAAGTTTAATTTATCGAATAATCGTATGTCGATGTGGATGGGACAATTGAGTGCATTGAATGCAAATTATCTTTGATGTTGCTTGGATATGTTGTATATATATTATCTTTTATCGTAAATTTATTGCATGTTATATCATGTGTTATTTAACCCACCCTAGAGGACACACTAAGCCTCATAGCTCACATTTAGTTTTCTTACTTTTATATTTATTCGACTATTATGATCGTTCTGGTACTTGAAAGATCGTTTAACGATATATCTTATCGTTTACAGTATGATTTTTATTGAACATTTATTATGTTTTAAACTCTTTTATCGGATTTTGGTATAATGTGTATTCATACATTTGAGATATTAAACTTATGGAATTTTATTATTATTTATTTATGAGTTTAATAATTGTTGTTCATCAATTTCATAATCTATTTTGATAATCGTTGGATTTTTCTAAAAATATATATAGATTTTCTGAGTTTAAGTCGGTGATATCTCCGAGACTCGATCGTAATGTCTAGGTTAAGTTAGAGTTTACAAAATAACATGTTCATTTTATTTAAATACTCAAATTACTATGAGAGGGACAAGTTAAATGAGAGAATATTGTGCATCACCCAGATGGATAAAATACAGTGCATCACCCCGAATGATGGATTAATGTGTATGATCTCGAAGGATGAAATATTATACATCATCTTGAAGGATGGAATACGATGCATCATCTCAAATGATGGAATCTATACAAGTGTGAACTCTATGGTATACCGATATACCTAAAACTCTCATATAATAAACTTGGGCAATATACATATAAACATCTATAACATTTAGTAATATGTAACATTTAATAACTTGAACATTTCCTACCCCCATTATGTATCACAGTAAGACCATTTGTATCATTTAAAGTACGTGTTAGTAGTCTATTTAAGCCATGTGCATATAAAGAAAGATTTTCTTCTCTGTTTTTTTTTTCAATGCTTGATTTGAGATAACAAGGCTTCTTATATTTCCTTCAAACCTTAACTTTCATAATTCCATAAGAAATTTACTTTCTTTCTTCTAATATTTCAAAGTCCACGTGAAGGACATTTCATATATCAACTTCGATTTCACACTCTAATTATTAAAATGAAGCTTGAATGATAATAAACCCTTCAGATAAAAATTTCATAAAATTTTCCTCTAATTCCCTTTATAGTCGAATTGGTCACTAAATCATCATCATAAGATTCAAGCTTCGAACAATCCATTCAAGAAGGTAACATCATTTTCTTGTCATTTTCACCATCAAAATAGTATTTATATATAAAATCCTAACTTTGCAAGGTTGTCAATTCGGTCACCTATGCACTCAAACATGAATTTACTGTCCAAACATCATATCTAAGCATAGAGAACCATTTTTTTCTTCTATTTCTCAATAATTTTTCATCAATTATTCAAGCATGGAAATGATAAAACAACACCCAATTCATCATATTCAAACTTTAAATCTCATGAATCATCAAACTCTAAAGCATGTCATCTTCCTACCCAGTCATATAATACGAATAAACCATGAATTATTAGTACCAAATGAAAGAGAATTCAAGAGATCAATTTTGTATTTCATGTCTTAACCCTAATTCTAAGTAAATTACCTTCTTTTCTTTTTTTCTTTTTATTAACACATGTTATACTATAAACTAATATTACCATTTCAAAAATGAAAGGACTATTTTATCCTTAAACTTTAATGATTCATAACATGTCACGTGCCATTTATAATCATTTTATTATTTATATTAATTTCATAGAATATCAAATGACCATTTTGCCATTAAAATAAATTTTAATATTAATCTTATGTATCAATTTTTATCCAATAGTCCATATTTAACATGGACTTTAACTTAAATCCAATGGTACTAATTCTTCCAAGAATCCATCTTCTTAATCCAAGGGCTCATATTAATTATAACATTAGGAAATGACATCGTTTTCCCTAAATCCAATGGCTAGAGATAAATTATTGATTTCTATTCGATTTGATTATTCGAAAACTCTCGAAAAACTTTAACTATTAATTCATTTCAATAAAATCCTGAATCAACCATTAATTTCATTTCCAACTTTTCTAAATGTTCACTTTAACCACCAAAATTGTATACGTTTCATTTTAGTCCCCAACCAAAATTTTTTAGAATTACAAAGGCTCCAAATAATACCCTCTCGAACAGTCTCCCAAATCATATTCAAACCAGTCCACAAACGTGAGCATCCCCTTCGGGCAATAGATTGGGGAACAAAATCAACAATTTTATATTTAGAAAGTAAAACTCGAACCCAAAATTGGTCCAATTCAGCCACAAATCTAAAAGCAATTTTCATGATAAAGGCTTCACTTTGGGATTAAAGATTTCGTGCCTAAGCCACCCTAACTAGGAGACATAAAAACCTCATTCCAATGAACTAGATGCAAACCACGTTTCTCATCCGAGCCATCCCATATACAACGACGAATGAGATGCTCAATACCATTACAAATGCCTTTAGGGAGATAACTAGTCCGCATAACATAAGGTGAGAGAGTCGTTAGAACATATCACAGACCTTCTGAACAAAGGATCCCCTAAGTATTTCCCGAGATCATCAACAAATACAAATTGAAAACCACTGCTGATATCCTCCCTAAGGTGATCACTGATGTTCTTAGAAAAGTAGATGTTGGTCTTGGCGAGGCTTACTTTGTGGCCTGAGCTGTCACAAAAATCACGAAAAATCTTTTGTATAACGTCAAGTTGATCGAGAGAAGCTTCAGCAAAGAAGATAAGATCAACAAAGAAAAGAATAGAAATTTGCGATCCATCCTTGGAGAGGCGAATAGGTCACCAATCACCATCATTAATCTCGCATTGAATAGCTTGCGCAAGCCTCTCAATACAATGAACGAACAAATAAGGAGAAAACGGATCACCGTATCGGATCCCATGAGAAGGTCATCCGTAAGGCTCCCATTCCAAATAATCTGAGTCGATGCCCTTGAGATACAATTCATTATCAATTTACAAATGTCTTCCGGAATACCCACATCCGAGAGTGTAACATCAATAAAATCCCACTCCAATCTATCGTAGGCTTTTTCGAGATTAATCTTAATAGCCATTCAACCAATTATTCCTTGCTTTCATTTCATCGAATACATCACTTCCTGGACTATAATGATGTTGTCTGAGATGCTTCGACCCGAGACAAAATTGGTTTATCCCTCTAAAATCCATTTAGGAAGAATCAGTTTCAATCGATTAACTATAATCTTCGTGATTGTCTTGAAAAGAACAATACAAAGACTAATAAGACGAAATTAAGCAAAATTGTTTGTGCTAAATCTTCGGAATTAACACCAATAATGTGGAACAGTCCTCATCAGTTTCAATTTACATGTAAAGGGAACTAGGGAAGTGAATTGATGAATGAGTGGGAAATTGATTCATATTAACTTTAAAACTGAAAATTTCATCAGTTGATTGATGTTTATGATAGAAACTAAGAAAACCCCTATCTTATTCTATGGTTAGTTCTAGAAGAACCACCAACAAAACTTGAAACTTGAGACATGAAAACAGCAACAAGAACAAACCACATTGGGTGTTTTTTTAAAGCTGTCCACAATCTGCAATAACAACGGGCTTGGAAGTCCTTCCACCGCTAGAACCCACCTTGTCGATGGCTCGAACCACGTCCATGCCTTCAACTACTTGTCCAAACACCACGTGCTTCCCATCCAGCCACTCCGTCTTGGTGGTGCAAATGAAGAACTGAGACCCGTTCGTTCCAGGTCCGGCGTTAGCCATCGAGAGCACCCCCGGCCCGGTGTGTTTCTTGATGAAGTTCTCGTCCTCGAACTTGGCTCCGTATATGGATTCGCCTCCGGTGCCGTTTCCGGCGGTGAAATCGCCCCCTTGGCACATGAAGTTGGGGATCACGCGGTGGAAGCTCGAGCCTTTGTAATGGAGGGGTTTTCCGCTACGCCCGACGCCTTTCTCGCCGGTGCAAAGGGCACGGAAGTTCTCTGCCGTGCGGGGAGTGCAGTCAGCGAAGAGCTCCATCACGATCCGGCCAGCCGGTTGGCCGCCGATCGTCATGTCGAAGAAGACCTTAGGATTTGCCATTGTAGCAGATATTTTCTTTGTAAAAAGTAAGGACAAAACGATTAGTGGATTTGGCAAATTAATTTTGGTGGTTAGTTATGATTTAAGCGAAAGGGAGGGAGTTTCTATAGCGGGAGAGGGACTGGGGCCAATCAGAGGTATACACGTGGCGAGAACTGGAGTTTTTTGTTTATATTTTACAAAATCTTTTTTACTTTATACCTTAATCATGAATTAAAAAATATATTCATTCATTTTCATTATTCGTAAATAGAACTAAATTTTATAATAACTAGATTTTAGAATTTAGCGTCGCCATCTAAACATCGTTGGAGTAAAGTACCTTAAACGCCGCATATTATTTTTTTATATATTAGATGGCATTAATCTTGATGATCGTTGCTATTAATCTTTTTTTCTTTATATTTTATTACTTTAAACTTTTATTTTATTTTTTATTTTTAATAATTTTATTATTATGACATGTTTATTTCTATTTTATGATACGTTTTTCTCGTTCCTTTGACACGATTTCGATCGTTTGATATTTTTTGTTTATTTTTTTTCTTGTGGTTAGATTTGACATCCTCACGATTAATCAAGATGTCGTTTATTTGTTATCATGTTGATCTTTCCTGCTTTGGACCATCAAATTGGATTTGAATATATGATTTACTTTCGTAAATAGTTTTCTCACGTTACTCGAATCTAATTTATGGTTTGTCGATAATCTTTTAATAGATTGATCTCCTTTGGTGGTACGTTTGTCGTTATGATCAAATTTGTTCGTATTTATCTTTTGATCGAGTTTTTTATTAGATTTTGAATATTTTCCTTGTATGATCTTAAGTGGTTAGTTTCTTGCGTCAATGATTATAAAAAATCGCCTAATTATGTGTTTAATTTACTGTTATTGTTGTAAATCTTTATTATAATCGTTTATATTTTTTTAATAGACAAACTATTATTATAAAAAAATTATAATAATTAATTTCGTTGATTATAATATTGGCTAGTTATATAATATCACGTTACTATTATTATTTGAATTTAAGTGTTGAATACAAATAATTAATTGATAAGGATATGGTTATTTTGAAGTGGGATTTGAGCCCACACTCTAACGAGAACAACAACTTGAGTCTGACGCTTTATACCACTCGGCCATCCTGACTATTAGATGAATTAATAATATAAATTTAGGTAAACTACGCGATTAGTATTTAAATTATTAATTTTGATTCATTTTATACCTAAATTTTTAATTTTTTTCAAAATCATAATTAATGTTTAGTTTTTTTTTCATTTTAGTACAAAAAACTTAAAGTTTTGAAAAAAATTTAAAAGTTTAAGTATCAAAACATGTTTAGTACTTAAATCATACTTAGATTTTTTAAAAAATTGAAAGTTTAGGTATTAAAACGGGCCAAAAATATGTTAGTTTTTAATGACGGATACTAAAATAAAACAAAAATAAAAATGTTAGGAACGGTTTAAAAAAATAAAAATTTAGGTATTAAAACGGATCAAAACGAATAGTTTAAGTACTAAATGCTATGTATTTTTTAATATTTTAGTGTAGGTTTACTCTCCTTATTATATCTTCAATAACAACCATTCGTACACAGTTGGGATCTTTTTCAAATTAGTTTCAAGTTTAGCAACCATAAATCTTCTTCCTATGTAAGTTTTAATCATTTGACAGATTAAAATTTCAAGTCGAGTTTGAGCATAAACTTGATTGATTTCCCATTATACTATTCATCCACTAATGTTTACATTACTTGTTGGCTTGTTTGGATCTTGTAATGTCATGTACGTTTACATGTTAATGAAGTCCATTATCTTTTCTATCTTATGTACGAAATTTTCCTATTTTTCAACTCATTGGACCAAGTTATGCCTGCATGATGTTCCATGAAACAAATTATATGCAGATACACTGTTTTTCTAGAGAGGAAACGAGAAAAGAAACCAAAAGAAATAAGATAAACATGTCTCGATCCATGCAGATAAATGCCAACTCGATAACATACAAGAAACTTCGACGACTGACAAATCCAACTACAAATTTTCCAATCATGGATTTCTTATTCTTCAGAAACCATAAGTCGCCACAAAGAGAATACCTGGCAGGCATCCTGCTCTATGCATACAGATCTATGCCCCAAAACTTGGCAGGTTGATTGGTCCGATAGTTACGGTCGATGGTTTTAATTTTGTCCATGTCTTCTTTGGCCAGCTCGAAGTCGAAAACCTGGAAATTCTCTTTCAGCCTCTCAGATTTTGAAGTCTTTGGAATAACAACCGTGTTTCGTTGGATTCCCCACCGGAGAACTATCTGAGCCACAGTTTTCTTATATTTCTCAGCTAGTGCCTGAAACCAAAGCACATATATTAAAAATAAACTACATGAAACAACATCAGGCGAAAAGAACTGAAAATTAATCTGCACGAGGAAGAATGCAATACCTTAAGGACTGGATCATCCAAACATGACACTGTGCCAAACCATTCAGTGTTGGCTGCAGCACCACCTAACGGAGTGTGGGCTGTAACACAGATTCCATGCTTCTGGCAAAATTTTACAAGACAATCCCGTTGGAAGTACGTATGTGTCTCGATCTGGTTTACAGCAGGCTTCACTTTGGAGTAAGCTAGGCAATCTCTGGTTAAAAAGATGTCATAGTTGCTGGAAAACACAAATTTAGTATCAGATATAAATCCAAAGTTAAAATATTTAGGGACACAACTAGATAGTCAAGACAAATCTGAGACCTGATCCCGATGCTACGAACTAAACCCTTCGAAACCAGATCTTCCATTGCATGCCAGGTGGTCTCCAACGATATAGTTGTGTCTATGTCCAAGACTCCATCCTTATCCAAAGGACTGCCAGTTTGACCAACTCCTGCAGAACATTACAGCAAAAATTGGAGAGTAACTCCATCGTTGCTTCTATTGAATGCCCTTTAACCATCCCACCATCTATGAAATGGTAGTTTGCATTACAATTCAAATAATTGAATGGACTTATTTTACTTGGATTAGGGTGCGAATGTCATGTATGGGTAAGCCAACGGATCCAATTCATCAGCTCCTGCTTAAACAAATTCAAACTATTTCCTGGACTACCAGAGAATGCACTCAATAACCCCAAAATAACTGAAATGTAGTACATAGAAATCAAAGCAAAACATTGATGCTTTTGTATCGAGTTCATCTTTTAACCTACAAGACTAAGAGATTTTAATATGGAATTTACAGAGAAGAGAGTACACAGCATGAGTAAAATGCATACGAAACAATTAAAGAGTACGGTCGGGAATTACCAGTGTGCTTTACGGCAACAGGGAAGTGAACTAGATACAAATCAAGATATTCCAATTGAAGCTTCTTAAGACTGTCTTTACAGGCCTCAAGAACGTGCCCGTGATCACTATTCCAAAGCTGCAATCAAACCGGGTAAGATAAGAACTACATAGTAATAAAGTATTATGATGATGAGGAGTAGGAAGACAAGGAGGGGGGTTTATAGTTTCCATTGAACTGGCCTTAGTTGTAACAAAGAGGTCCTCTCTCTTAACAAGCCCAGTTTTGATTGCTTCAGACAATGCCTCGCCAACTTCTGCTTCATTCTTGTAGTCAGCTGTAAAACGGTTAGAGATGTTAGAGAAGCGTGAACACGACACCCCAATAAAAGAATGCCTGTACTGTAACAAAGACTAAATCTTCACATAATCAACCATCTTCTGATTTCCCTATCTCTGATATTGAAGAACCATCGAACTCCGAGAGACAACCGCAGACATGCTAGAGAAACATGAGCACAATATTTATGCCACCAAAAATACATGATAACACAATCAAAGAATACCTGTTCTGAAATAGAGAGTAGACCTTCAAATGTTCAACCATTTTCGAATTCCCAATCTGTTAAACTAAATATCCATGGATCTCAAACCAGAGAAACATGAACACAAAAATATACCACAAATAATACATGACAACACAATCAAATAATGCATGTAGACTGTAGAAAAGACAAAATCTTCACATGTCCAATAACGCTTCTTCAATTTCCAGATCCGTGAAACTAAAACTCGAGGTTTAGCTTAGGCGGTTCATCAAACCATATTTTAGTAGTGACATCTAGCAGTTCAAACCATACTTGGAAGACAAATCCCAGTATGAAGATTGCAAGACTTGGTCGAATTCTAATCAACTATTGCCTAAAGAGAGGAAAAGGCGGAGTACCAGCACAATCAAAATGGCGATAACCAAGCTTGATGGAGTTGATGATGAGGTCTCTAACGTCTTTTCCGTCCATACGCCAAACACCCAAACCAACCAGCGGCATCTTGAATCCATTGTTGAGTGTGATGGCCATTTTGCCTTTGATCTGCGAAGCAAATCTACTGTGTACAAAGGGTTTTTTGGATTGAAACAATGAAGGGAGGTTTGTGTTTCCTCTTTTCAACTTCTCGGTTGGGCCTGCCACCTGTTGTTTCTCCTTGGCCTGGCTTTATCCTGACCTGATCTGATATCCTCATCATGAATGATAAGAGACGTCTGATTTGAGAATCTTGATCTGTTCCTGGCCCACACCCACTTAAATTTGCGGTAACCAATGCGTTAGTATTTATATTATCAATTTTAATTCGTTTTAATATCTAAATTTTTATTTTTTTAAATCATATCTAATATTTAATTTTTATTTTATTTTAGTATTTTACTGTTAAATACTTAATGGCACTGTATATTTTTATGGGTACATTTAGTTTTTGTTTTATTTTAGTACATTGTCGTTAAAAATTTAACGGGTGATTTGTACTAGGCACCTATTTTATTGGTAAATTACATCATTCATCATTCAACTATCTTTTCACTCTTATTTTGGTCACTAAAGTTTATTTTATTTTATTTTATTACTTAACTTTCAAATTACTCTTAATTTAATCACTCTAACTTTCAAATTTATTTTTTTATTTTTATTTATATGTTAATAAAATAATAAAAAAATATCATGTAACAAAAATTATTAATAAAATAAGTTAGTGTGATTAAAATATAAGCAATTTGAAAGTTAATTAGTTAAATTGAAATTTTTTAAACTTACCAAAATAGGAGTGAAAAGATAGTTGAGTGATGAATGATGTAATTTACCAATAAAAAATGCATTGTCATAAAAAACTTAAAGGTGAAGTAATAAAATGAAACAAAAATTAAACGTTAGATATGATTTTGAAAAATTAAAAGTTTTGGTACTGAAACAGACCAAAATTAATAATTTATGTACTAAATGCATAATTTACCCTTAAATTTATTGTAATAATTATTAGTATAATAATAGAAAATAAATTTAAAATTAGTCAAGGATGTTGTATTTAATATCCTTCATTTAGCTCGATTCCACTTTTGTTAGTTAAATTAGGTCCGATCAAATTTGAAAGTCAATCGAATTGAACCTGCGTCAATTTTTTTCATTCACAAGATTTAATTTATCTTATGACATAAATTTAAATCAGACTTTAATTTCAATATTCTTGCTAAGAGCGGCGTGGGTGTGATGAGGCCTGAGTTGGTGATGAAATCTATTGTTTATGGTTGGTGTTTTGTGTATTTATGGGGTAAATTATGCATTTAGTATCTAAACTATCAATTTTAGCCTGTTTTAGTACCTGAACTTTTGATTTTTTTTCAAAACCATACCTAACATTGAGTTTTTTTTTCATTTTAATACCCCATCGTTAAAAAAACTTAACGCGTTTATTATCTAAACTATTAGTTTTGGTCCGTTTTAGTAATCAAACTTTTAAATTTAAAAAAAATAACGTTAAGTTTTTAACATGTACCAAAATGAAACAAAAATTAAACTTTAGGTATGGTTTTAAAAATTGAAAGTTTAAGTACCAAAACATATCAAAATTGATAGTTTAAGTATAAAATGTGTAGTTTACCCTATTTATGGTTAGATCATTGCTGTTTTTATCAGCACTGGGATCAATCCTAAGGCCAAATCCTATTATCTTTCATCTGCTCGTCTATGGCCTTGCTGGGCTTTCCGCTGGAATGGCTATCGGAATTGTTGGTGACGCTGGTCTCAGGTACAATTGCTTCATCCCTCCCATCTTCTCAACTTAGATTCAACATTCTTGTTATTGATTAGTGCTGGAACTTAAATTAAAGATTGAATTGAGATTTTTCCAACAACGATAATAATAATAAAACTCAATTAGTCTTCGATCATTACCTGCTTGAGTTTGGCTAATACAATAATTCTAGCTCGGGATGTTAATATCAAACTGGATTAAAATGGAACTTGAATAGCTTGCTTGTTTAGGTGTCATGTTTACACCCTAGGTTGAGTTGGATTTTAGAATCTATGATGGGGAAGCTCATGATCAAAACGAGAAAAAGTTGTCAGCGCATGTCATGAAGAAAGTTGGTGTTAGACAGATCATGTCAAGGGGTGATAGACACTCGGTTTTTTTAGTGTTGTTTTAGGTGAGATAGAGGTGTAAGGAATTTTTCATGACTTTGGAATAAAATCTCGTAAGATTTTTAGTGTCTTGATCATAAGAATTTGATTACTGATAACGTTATATTAACATGATATAATAGCATACCAAGACTTTGACTTTGACTTTGACTATGGATAGGTATATTGACATGATATAATAACATACCAAGACATTTACTTTGATCATAAGAATTTGATTACTGATAACGTTAATTGAATTGGATATGCAATTAATAGTATTATATTGTTTTGGTTGGCTACAATACTATTAACGAATAGATGAGGTGAAGCAAATAGTGTTTCACATGGTTTTGCTTTGACTGGATAGGATAATGTCCTACCACATTAAGAAAAACTGAGTGCAATTTGTGAAATTTATGCGGATGCACACCTTGTTTCTTGGATTTGGGTGTGAGTATTGAATGGGAATATGTATTTGATACGGGTATGGTTAGACTTTTCAAAGTTTTTCCATCTACTTGGAAAATTCTCGAGTTTAGATTTTAATATTTGTGTCAGATACAGTTACTTCAAGAGAAATAAAGAGTCCTAACAACATAGAATGCAACGGCAGAACGTTGGTTAACTGCATCATATGTCCCTAAATTATAATCTTTATTTTAGATTGGTATTTAAACTTTTGAATACTTTAATTTGATCCTCAAACTATGACTCTCATTCTAAATTAGTTTTTCAACTTTTAAGCATTCTAATTTCATCCCTAAACTATTACTCTATTTCTAGATTGGTCCCCAAACTTTTGAATCTTCCAATTTTATCCCCAAATTCATCCAAATATGTAATTAGTTTCAACCATAGTTTAACCTAAATTTTTTTTCAAACATATAATAATTTAACTTGGCCTATCGGTTTTATTAACAAGGGATGTGATTAGTATATACATATAGATTGGGATAAAATTGGAATATTCAAAAAGTTTGGGGACTAATTTGAAATGAAGGTCATAGTTTGAGGATGAAATAAAAATTCCCGAAAGTTTAAGAACTAATATAGAACAATAGTCATAAATTAGGGATGAAATTGAAACATTTACAAGTTTACATACCAATTTAAAATAAGGGGTCATACCAATTTAATAGCCTACAAAGATTTAATATAATTAAGTTTAAGTTGTTAAAAAAACAAAGGTTTTTTGTACATTAATTTAGTTTTAATTTTAAAAACAAATGAAAGACCTAATCTAAGAGGTTGATGGAGTAAATCAAATGAAATTATTTTTATCGATAACCAGTTGTTCGAGTGATATAATATATTAGATCCCTTAAGTAAGGTTAAAAGTTTAAATCTTGGCATTTGCGAATAGAGTAAACTGGATTGAGACTATTGCTCTTATCTTTATAATACCAGATCCAGATTAACCGATCAATATATCAAATATAAATAGTTACACCAAAAAAATAAATTATTTTTTTCATTTTCTCTTATTTTTCCTATTTTCATTTTGTATATGTAATAATCCAATTATCCAAATCCCTTGAAAAAGAAAATCAATTGGAAAAGATAAATGATAAATCCAATAGTGAAAAAGGCTCTTCGGATGGATGTGTAATGGCCACCACAGTACCTTAAAAAATTAACGATCGATAACTTCGCTAAGCCGACTTCCCGGTCAGGCGAGTGGGTCCACCAACCACGAGTATTTTGGACCATGCAACTCAACAATCTTCGTGTCGGCCACATTCTCATAAGGCGCGTTGATTATTGCTATGAGGCCACCAACAAAAAACATAGTGAGTAGATCATGGCGTCAACAGCTCAGCACTGCTACCCGCCATAATTAAACAACACTACAGTCGCCTTCATGTGGTTAACACGTGTTCGCCTCAAAAAAGGACAATTATCCACCTTTCATTTATTTATTTTTAAAATTTTATAATTGTTGAAAGGGAAAATATACATTTTGGTGCATGAACTTAATTTTAAGGTTTAATTTGATATGTGATTTTTTTGCCCAATTAGGTACACAAGCTTGGCTCATGATTCGAATTGGTACTTGAGTTTGGCTTTTAGTAGAAATTGATACATATGGTAAAAGTATTTAATTGAATTAAAAAGTAACAAATTAAATATTAAAACTAAACCCATTAAAATGTGTGTTTATCCTTGTTAAAAAGATTTGTTTATACTAATTAATAACTTATTATGTTCAAATTTAAACAAATAAAAAAAAGATAAAATACACAAATTGTCCCTTGACTATAAGACGTCATTTTATTGAGTCTCCTGACTATTAAAAGTTACAAAATGGTCCTCCAACTATAAGGTATTGTTTTGTTGAGTCCTTTGACTATTAAAAGTTACAAAATGGTCACCCGACTATTCATTATGTTCCAAACTCATCATTTTTTGTTAAAAAAATTACGGTAGTCTGAGCTGAACGTTAATCTGCTAATTGAGATATGATAAAATCTGATATAATAATCTTAAACGACTATCATATCTCAAGCAGCATGTTAACGTCAAATTCACATGATCATTAATTTTTTAACCAAAAAGGATGAGTTTTGAACATAATGAATAGTCGAACGGTTGTTTTGTAACTTTTAATAGTCGAGGGACTCAATAAAGCAATATCTTATAAAATGAACTATTTCGTAACTTTTAATAGTCGGGAAACTTAATAAAACAACACCTTATAATCAAGAAATCATTTGTGTACTTTACCCATAAACAATTTGTTCAATCTTAGGCCATCACATTCTTTTAAACGACATATTTACCCATAAACAATGTGTAGGTTACTATTTTTAAACTCATGACTTTATTTTTTTTTTCTTTTCAGCGTGAAATTGATATCCTCTGTCACTCTCTAAAATGTGACATTATGTCTCAAATCAACGAAAGCAATATTAAACCAACATGAATTTTAACTCAATCATTTAATTATTAATTAAATATTATATAATTTTAATTAATTATTATTTTATATTAC